TCAGGGCCAAAGCAATCCTAAGGTCCAAATGCAAAATCCTACAATATGCGTATTTGCAGTGCAAACAAATCCTTCTTCCTGTTGGTATAGTAGACAGATCAGATTATATTTTTTGACATCTCACAACCAGCAACAATTTAAAAAATAACTCTGCTCCCATTTACCACAGAGGAGTTGACTTACTGACTCACATCAAATACAAACTCAAGAGATCAGACACCACTTATATGGTTTTATATGGAATCACCAAACACAGTAAATGAAACATCACAGGAATGTGTGGCAAGAGATGGCTCATCTTACTCATTTTTTTCTTAGATAAAGAAGAAAACGTGATCAGCTCGGCATGTCCAAGCTAAACAAATTCATACATAAAACACAAAGAACAGTAGAAGTCTGGTTACTGTTGGCAAACTTCCACAGCACTCACAACTATCATTTGTCTCAAGAGAAAAAGGATTTTATCCCATAATTGTTCACAAAAGTCATAATCAAACTCTCTTTTAAGCACAATATGATAAAACATGTCAATGCTGAAATACATTTGCACTGGAAAAAGCTGGATGTAGCTGCAACCTGAGGCAGAAGCAGCCTCTCCTCCTCACGGAGACGACGTCTCTATTTTGCATTTTGCATGTTGCCATAGGGTCTGGTGTCTTTTTCTTTTGGGGATTGAGGCGTGGTTGTCTACTTTGACTCCAATTAGGCTGCTGTGCATTGTTTAAAGGCTGCATTACCAATGAGAGCATCAGTTAAATCACAGGCAAAAATGTTTAAATTTTGTAAATGTTGTAGGGACCTTGTAGAGTTAAAACACAGACAATGTGAATAGTAGGCTAAATGAAATGCTACTTTTAGGCTCCAATTTGTGTGTTGTTGTTTTAAATCAGAACCAGAAATGCAAACAATCCATATAGTCCACTGAAAGAAGTTCCTTAATCTGGTTGTCCTAATTACAGCATAATCACCGGCTAATTATTTTTGCATATGGATTTGGTTGTTTTACTCAACTCTGTATGCAACCATGACATAATTTCAACACCATTTTCTACTGCAGATTAAATTGTAGAATAAAACAATTGCTTTATGCCACGATTAACCAGTTTCTGAAAGCAACAAAATGACACGCTTAACTCCAAGATTATATCTTTTCAAAAACGAATAAACTGGAATAGAAAACTAGAAAAAGGGCAACTGTAAAACAGTGAAACCGGAATCCCAAATCAAAACACAAACAAGTAGCTAAAGTAGGCAAAGAAGTGGCTAAATTAGGCATACAAGCACATAAAAATGACTGTAAAAGTGCGTGGATGTCAAGAGGTGAGGCACTCCTGAAAAGCCCATGTACACCTGCTGAACGTCACAGTGGTTAGCTCACTTCCTACTTCCACCTGACTTCCTCAACAATAACATACTTTGTGCAACAATTTACACCAGCAAGACCACTGAGTGTAAAGTAAAAGCCTATATGATAATAGTCTATTAAATCGACACAAAGTCAAAGCCAGGAAAGTCTCTCTTAAAACTTTACTAGATCCACGTCCACGTCGTCAGCACATTAGGAAAGCTGCCGACAGCTTCCTGGATTTCCCCAAATGCAACGTTTGCTTAGGGGTGAGTTATTTTACACGTCGTCAAAAAGGAATTGGAAGTCTTTCTCAAGCACTCGGAACAATGTCTTAAGTTACAGAAGGGAAGCACACCTGTGAAGAAGTAGCTATCAGCGAGCTAACCCTGATATATTAGGGAACTTGAAAGGACAAGGTATCAGTTTGACATCACGGCGTCATCGTGACTGAAAAAGTCTCCTTAAACTAATGTTTGCATCGACAGCATTACATCAGACGAATGGAAAACAGGACCCGGGTCACTTCAGCCCCCCCTCCAATTACCGACTGATCTGAACATGATGCAGTTTAGGCCTTCTTAGCGTTAGCTAGCTCCCTGACATTTCTCTGTCAAATGTGCCAGTTACCGTCGAAATTAAAAGACGACCAAGGGTTTTTCTTACTTATCAAGAGAATAATCACTATATCCTACCGTTTTAAGTTGTTACGACTTGTATGACTTGGTCAGTAGTCACACCACAGCAGTGCACATACTACCTAGCCCAGCAACTTAGCTGCTGACAGGCACAACCCCGGTGCACTGAGGGCTGCGACTTCCTATGCAGCGCATAACTGTCAGTTGACATCGCTAGTACAATCAAAAGCACTCGTATTTAAGTCCAAGTAGAGACACTTCCACATATTTGTGGCGACATGGTACTTTCTAAAGATACTTACGAGCCGTAATGATGCCAGAGAAGAACTGGAATCGTCTCTATTAGCAATGGAGGGAGGAACACACTAGACATGCAAAATGGTGGCTACTCCAGCCTCAGCACATCTACTGCAGGCGGAGGATTACGCTGGCAGGGGTTGGTCAAAGAAGTGTGTAGAGCAGGTGGATGCGGCATATAATCAACAGCAGCACTTCAAAATTCCCATTTTGCCTTTTAGAATTGAACAAATGGCAATTAAAACAACGTATGTATTTAAAGCTCAAACTGGCCACTTCCATAAAACTGTTAAAAAAAAAAGCTGAAACACTGATAAAGGCTAAAAAAGTTGACTAGAGCTGCTTTTAATTGATAGCCGCCACTGTTAATTGATTGTATTTTGATTGTATTCTATTTTATAATATAATACAAGAATACAATATTGGATATTCTATTGTAAAATCATTGTATTATGATTTTATCATGTAAAAAACTTTGAAATGCCTTGTTGCTGAAATGTCCTACACACAAAGAAAAATTAACTTCACTCTAAGAATTGATGATTGGTTTAAATTTGAAATATTAAACTGTTTGTAATCTAAAATAACATCAGAAACATCTAGGAAAACCTTAATACAGTCAAAAACTGAGAAATCTAAAAAATCAAAAACTGAGAAATCTAAAAAATCTAAATTATCATTAGTAATTTTCAGGAGATAATATAGATAGATAGATAGATAGATAGATAGATAGATAGATAGATAGATAGATAGATAGATAGATAGATAGATAGATAGATAGATAGATAGATAGATAGATAGATAGATAGATGTTTTTATTTTTAAGCTTTCTATTTTACATATTCTAACGTTGACTTGATGGCAAAAAAGCATAAAAAGATTTGTTCATGTAATATCTATGCAAAGCAATGCATGTGAAAATGGCTCAATTCACCTTTTTTCAATCCCTTTTCTAACTTTAGGAATATCATTTTAGAAAACATGATAATCAGGATTCCCAATTTCTAACAATATTCTCAGTATTGACAGGGTGGAAATGTTTTCATTAAGTGCTATAACGGCTTGCCACACTGAACGCTCGTCCCAAGTTAAAGCATACAGTAACGTTAGCTTGGACCAGAGGAGCCCATCACAATCTGCCTCCGAGCGAGACTCTCACCTGCTATGCCAGTGTTCACTGGACGCCATGGGTAATAGTTCCGTTTTTTATTTACTGCCATGATAAACGCGTCTGGGTTCTCATTCCTAGAATATGTTTTCTTTTTTACTTTGTGCCCTGTGAGCTTGATAGGTGCTATCGTTGTTGCATTGATATAAAGGGCTAACATTCGGCTTGTTAGTCCGCTAGCTGTCGTCGATCTGCTTTTGGTTTGGATTTGACGTCACCATAAGCTATCAGTGGAGACGTTTCAGCTATTGCTCGTAAGGAAATCCACGCATTTCACGGGCTGGTGAGCTTATTTTCGTTGAGATGGCATATTTTCGCCTAATCTTGCGGATGAGTACATTTCTAAACCGTGTCAGTGTCGTGCTGCGGTCAGTTTACTCGTGGCATTCAGTGATGACGACTACATGCGCTGCTATGACATTGGTATGTAGCACCACCCAGTGTTGTTACCTTATCCAGGAAACTGGCTTTATGGACTGTGAATGCTTATGCAGTATTTTAACAATTGCAGATCAGAGTTAAAGATACAATCAGTGTTTTGAATAATGTAAATAATGTTGGAAGTTCTTTTTTTGTGTGTGAAATCTTAGTACCTTTTGGTACATTTGCAAATGACGGTCGTTCTTTATTTAAAGCAGTCAATTAATGGGTGAGCTATTAACGTTTCGCATTTGAGTTTTCACGCGTCCAACCTCTATAAGGTCACATTTTCAGCGTTTAACATGCCAATCTAGAAGCTCTCCCTCTAAGCAATCCATAAAACTTTTCTATGTAAGACCAAAACTTCCATTTTAAATATTTTGGAACCATAGTAATAACTACTTATTACTATAACAATATAATTGTTGACTCACAACTTTTCTGGATATTTTCTGGTGGTTTATAATGTAAATGGAGTCAGGCATTAATTGGGGGGGGGGGGGGTCAATCTCTGAGTGTTTACAAATAATCCATTAAGATGATGGGGTTTTAATACAGATTAAATTAATACCGAAAAATACTAGTAATGGTTTTAAAAAAACAAAAAACAAAAAATTAAAGAGAATAAAAAGAAGCCTCATTGTGAAAACAGTCGATGTAAGTAGTTTTTTCTTTGGAAGATATGCAATGATTCGCTGTGTAAATTGCATAGTTTGTCCACTACGGAGCGCTAACATGTTTTTCTGCATATGAAATGACCTCATTAATTTATCATATTAATTATAGATTCATTTACGTATTAAGATTGGGAAATTATACATTTTAATTTATTTATTTTATAGCACAGAAAATATGTTATCTTGTTCAAATGTTAATTATTGAATTAATTATTTATTTCATTTATTCAAGTCTTTGACAGAATGCATCTGATGTCTGCCCAGTGTTACTGTCCGTCTCTTTTTTCGTCATCAAGTGACAATATCATCTTTGGTCATGTTTGCTTTTTAAACATGATTCAAGAAAATTGCGCCACCGTTACCTCTTGACAATTTGTAAAATTGTATTTAAAGAAAACAATCATATCCTCAGCTTTAACGGTCTTTGCTCGTCCTGACTACACGTCCCATGATGCAGTTCGGCTCGCGTTCGGATATTTTACATACGGGATCAGCTGAGCTCGCGCTTCGCTCCTGCGAGCTGCCAGCGGCTCTGGGTCGGAGTGGCTCGGGTCGCCTCGCCGTCCGTCCGTCCGACTGTGTGTGTCGTCGGGCTCGGACATCATTTTAAACCCCTCTCGGCGCTTGGAAGGGACAATTTTTCAAACTAAACCTGGAAGAACGTGACACGCAACTGGACTTCTCCTTGTTTACACCTCCGGTAGCGTTTACGTTTCTTCCGTTGGAGCGGATGTTTTGGAGGTAGTTTGTCCGGTAATTGGGTCCATCGGCTCGGTTCGGAGTTCACCTGGACCGAAGTGGTTCGGGGAGACCTTTCCACCCACCCCCCCTCCGGTGAGAGGGTGATACTATGTCCAGACGAAAACAGACCAACCCCTTCAAAGTTGACTGTAGGTATCGCAGGTTTTACATTTTTACAGTTTTAAGAGTTTCCTTTTCACATAGTCTGATCCTCTCTGACTAAACTATAAATCCTGCGGGAAGTGTTTCGCTTGCCTTTGCCTTTCTAATTTGCTGGTATTTAAATATGGCAGAGGTCATAAATGTTTGGGTTGGCATCCTAATTATTAGATGTACTTTCTACTCTACTTTACTTCCCAGTGATCTAAAGACAACATTATCAAGTCTAATGTCATATATGAAATCTAAAGTCGTGCCAAATTGAACTTGAAAACTCAATAGTCACAATTGAATGCATAATATGCAAAAACAGGCATGGAAAGTATTTAAGTTCCTTTATTAAAGTATATGTTTTATTTCTAAATAGCATAACCTAAATGGATGCACATAAGGAATGATGGTAATTATTACACTTTGATATTCTCTGATCTCTTCTCATCATTTTTATCATGATTTCTGTTTATTGATTAAACCCACACCAGGTTCTTCTCCATATTTAACATGTGCAGTTGTTTTTGTTGGTTATAATACTGCTGAGTTTAATTCCTAGGACCAATCATTATATAAAGAAAACTTGAACTGAGCACGCTTTCCCGCAAGTGGCTTCCCCTTCAGTTTCTTTTTGTTTTTTTGTTTTTTATTAGTGTAGCAGGATTATTTTATACTTTAACAGAAGCACTGCTTTTAAAAGCCGATACATCAGTAAAATGTGAATATATGGAACCCCTGTTTGAGCTTTTGCCCTGCCAGTGTGTATGCATTTTGTTTTGTTTTCCTCTAAAGCAACACAAATCACACATCATGCCAAGCGAAGCCTCAGCTGTTTGTGTTTATTACGTTTCTACAAAATGTCACTCTCTTTGCACACAATCTCTGTTAGACGCTGAATCTGCCTCGATATATTCAATCACAGTCCTGACTGCAGTATTTGTGTCAATATAGCAATTTCAAACGACTGCTTCAGTGAAATATTTTATAGGCTATAAGATTTCAGGAACAGGCATCATCGCTGCTTGTCAGTAATATATTCAGCCTCTTGTAGAGATGTCCACACCTAATATAGATCCTATTGATCAAGATCTTCAGTCTTGGTTTTGTGAGATTAAAAAAAAAGAGAGTTGATAGTACTTATGTTTATCAAAATATTCATTATGAAACTTTGTAGAGGTGGAACTAATCTGTTCCACTTTAATAATAATCTTTGTCTTTTCCCTTTTTAATTTAGGAGTATTAATGAGACATAAGCCACAGTCTGTACAGAAACATGACTTGGAGTCTTTTGGGTCTGTTTCAAACTTTAGAGTGTACTGATGGCTTTTTAAAAAGAAAATGTTAATGAATGAATGAGTAGGCTATCAATAATTGGTGAAAGTTGGTTTGTAATGACATCCAGTTGGTGTCCCTCCAGCCAGGATCTCCTGGTTGGTCCACCTGCAGATATCTTCAAGAAGTTGCTCCCTCCAAAGAAAAAGATTGCCCTGTGTAATCTGCTGAAGTCAGGACCTGCACAGCTCACCTTTCTAAATATAGTTTGGAGAAAGTGTAGAAATGCATCTTACTTTTGCACCTACAGTAATCCCTGAAAAGCTCAACAGTCCATATATTGTTACTGAACGCCAAAATCAGAGCTAGAAACGGAAAGGATGACCAAAACCAAGTTGACGTTGAAGAGGGAACTTTCTATGTTCTGTTTGAATACATTTAACTATAATCTCCATCGTCATCGACAGACTTCAGATTCGGTGAGTTTTGTAGTTCAGGACTCCTGCGGTTTGGCTGCTTCACCTGTCTTTTCCTGTGAAGTCTAAATGGCCTGCAGAGAGCTGTCCAGAGCGGAGAGGTTAACGCAGTCAGACTGACTGACAGACTAGACAGCAGGGAGACAGGCTGCCAGACACACACACACACACACATTTTTATGTATATGCTTGCCCACACACACAAAGGTTCCACTCAAAGTGTATGTTGCATGCAAATGTCTTTGTGTTCTTTAATCTGATGAACATTACAATCCAGAAAAACTGCAGTGAAATTAACTGAATTAAGTCTTTTAGTTTGTTTCCTGCTAAATATGAAGATATTGTTGTTGTTTAATGCTTAACATGAAGCACTATTTCAACTCTGATCATTTTTTAATATTCTAAAGTTATATGAAGTAGTTCAACTTGTTTTTCACTAGATAGGATTAGCTCTATATTTCCCTTTTCAGTAGGAACATTTCAGTGTAACAACAGTGGAGTCACAGTCATGGATAAACACATTAGAAACAACAATAAGGTAAAAATACAAAGTGACAGATTGTAAAATCCTGAAATATGCAACCACAGTGTAGTAAAATTTACATTTTTGTGCAAGAAAAAAAATGTTGAATACAAACAGAAAAACTTTCCTCCAACAGGTGCAAAAAAACTTCTGCAGTCTGTATGGGAATGCAATCTTTAACCTTCGATTATTAAGACTTAATTCCTTGTATGTGCTTGGTTTTTCTCATGTTAATGAGCGACATTTCACCTTAACTTCAGGCGCCAACGTAGCCAGACAGTGGTCCTCTTCATTAGAAGGGTTTTATCACTTCATCTTTTGTGTGATATTGGGTCAGCAGATGAGAACTGATCAGATGTCTGGCCCAGCATCCTTGTTCCCCTCCTGTCTGTGTGTGGATGGAAGTCAGGGCCCCAGCACTTCCTGCACATTCAGACACTGGCTTGTGTGACTTCATGTGTGTGTTTTCAAGGGGACGGCGGCTGGAGAGCTAAAGGAGGGGCTTTTAAATTTGAAGAAAAAAAAAAAAGACCCCTATTGCTTGGTGTTTGAGTAGAGTTTTGGCATTCTGTCTTTTGTCTGTTTTGTTTAGCACGCTAGCCCTCCACCACCCTGACCCCCCTCCACTGCCGCCACCACCACCACCCACTCCCCTTTCTCTCTCTCTTCTGTGTGTCTGTTGACTGATGAGTTTGTCTCTTTGTCTGGATTCAGTCAGACACTGCGTCACCTCCTGCCTACAGACACACAGACTCGGAGATAACATCACAGTGGCACAGAGACTGGGGGAGGGAGGGAGCAAGGAGAGACAGATGTACAGACAGAGCTCTGGCAATTGGGTGGGAGGGGGGGATGGGTATTTCTCACACATCAATCATTGGCCATGTGCCGAGAAGCCAGCTCGCTGTAGTAGTTCAATACCCGGACCCACTGTGCCACTCCTCATGAAAGCTCTGGCTCGTTTGGGGCCCAAACTGCACCCACACGCCAAATAAAAGAAGCCAGACGATAGAAAAATAACCTGAAGATTCAGCTTCAGGTTTAGAGAAACTCAAAGGGAAAGTGCTGGTAATGGACTGTGATGAGGGGCGTGGTTCTGTCAGTGTCAGGTAGCCAAAGTCGCAGCCCATCTCTCCCATCTCTGACCCGAGTTACTGCACACCAAAGTAAAATCCCGACTTATTTCAGAGTATAAGAGAAACTCTCGCCAACAGCTCTACTGAGGCAAATGCTAGGACTCAAATTCATCTTTGGCGGGGTCAAGTGTAAGAATATAAAAAGTGGAGGAGTTTTACCAAACCTCACAACTAAAAGTACTTCCACAGAGCAGAGACATATGGGCTGCCATTGCCGAGCTGCTTTCACCCCTCTCGGAGGCGATGGTATGGATATGGAAGTACTCGCTATATTTAAGCAGGGAAGACAGAGGGCGAGCCAGGCTGTTCGGCGTGTGGGTGGTGTGGAGAGAGACGTGGAGAAACACAGTTTGTAGCTCGACAGAAAGCAGGAAGAGAGGCTGCTGCTCCTGAGGGACTGCAGCATTGCTGTAGGAGCAGCCAGTATGCATTGGAGTGTAAGAACAGTGGGGGTTGGGATGTTAATGAACTTAATGTTGATGCATAAACACGAGTGGCCTCACCTCGCCCACTTTATGTACTGTAGTGTTTAGACTTTTAAACTAATGAGAAATTTCTCTACAGCTTGAGTCAATTAAAAAAACAGTTGAACTTCTTGTTTTATCACTGTGCAATGTTTTATTAAAGTCAGCCTTTTGTTAAATATAAACAATAGTTACTTGCTCCAATAGGCAAATGTTCTGAAGCCAAACTTTTCAACACAAATTATGTTATTCTGAAACATTTCACTAAATTAGCTGAAAGTTTTGCTTATCATCTCTGTCTCTGCATAGATTTTCATTCGTATCTGTCTTAATAGGACATTCTTCATGAGGACAGATTAGTATAACCTGTGGTGTTCCTTGTGGTTAAGTGTTGGGTACATTGACATTTTGTTTTTACTTATTTCCATGTACTGGCATTACTCAAAATTTCTGTAATTCAGAGTAATCACATCTACATGACTAATCTCAGTTGTATTTCTCTTTTAAGCTCCTCCAGATATTGAGTATTGCAATTTTCTTGTCTTAAATGCTAACAAGGCAGAGATCTTGCTTTGTAAGAGCAACCAGATCGTCTTTTGTTTAGCAGCCAGGTTCAGCGTACAAGACACTTTATTCGGCTCTCGGCATTGACTCACATGTTTAATCTACTTCTTGTTCCTGCCATTTAAGAAACATTTCAGAACTCAAACATCTGGTGTACCCTGCAGATCTGGAGAACACTATCTCAATCTCATGCCTGGATTACTGTACTGCCTTGTTTACTGGTCTGGACAGATCGTCAGTTTCACGCCTCCAAAGCAATCACAACCCAGCAGCCACAAATCTCTGTGGAAAAGCTTTCCTTTGGAGTTTTAATTCACTGACTCTGCGGACCTGTTGCAAATATTCTACTTTTATCAATCTGATTTTATGTAAAGATTATATAGTAGATCTTTTTACTTGAGTTATGCAAATTAGAATTGAACTTTTCCTGCGTTGTACTGTACTTTATGACTATAGTTGTGGAGGGCAATGGGTAAATTAATTACTAAAGAAAACTTGCATTATAGAGGCGACGTCACAAAACAACGGTCTGTGGTTGAATCCTTCCATTTAAATTAATGTGAAAAGGTGAAGAAGCACTTAATGCAGTTTAGACATTAAAATAAAAAGCTTCTGACTGACGTACAATAAAATCTAATGCATACATTCAAAAACTGAATCTACCACCAAATCAAAATCCTATCTACAGTCGAATAACAAAAATACATTTGTTACATCTTGGCAGAAAATGTTACTTTTCCTAAAATGAGATTTTTTTATTACTTGTATTTGTTTATATTCAACCAAAAAAGTCTGTGAAATGTTTAAGAATCTCAGCGAGGCTTGTAATGATTAGTCTTGTCATAACCATGCAACTGTTTGTAAAATTCTCCATGCACAGTTTCATTTATAGGTTTTTATCTTGTAAGAATAACTCAAAGACAGCATTATAATATTAGATATGCTCAGGAGCACATATACTCTATGGTAAAGGTTCATTCTTTATTGAAGAATAAAGATTGTACCTTTATTCTTTCTTTATGAATGAATAAGGAATATGTTTGTAGCTCGACAAGCTTATTCATTCTTTTTTATGAACCTTCTTTCCCATAAAGAACATTCATTTCTTTTTTTTTTTCCAAAAAGAAAAGAAAAAAGCAGTATTTTTCTTTTCTTCTCAGAAAAGAAAAATACTCCTGTTTCCAACCGTTTGGATGTAGAAAACAGGCTTTTAGTGTCTACTTATAGAATGTAAATGTGGGTTTTATGAGTTGTTTTGGTTGTAAAAGTCTGTGGAGGGTATGTCATTATAATCGTTGCGGTGATGTCAGTGTGTACATACACCTGGTCTCTAATTGTACGGTTTTGGGTGAGCTCCCTAAAAATGACCTTCAAAAAACTGAACTGCGATCGAGAGACGTTTTAAAAAAAAATAAGCAATACAAATTTGTAAAAACTTGCAAATTAGAAAATGACGTCTGTTTCCTGCTGCATAATAAAGAGGATGATTGAGATTGCTGATGGCTTTTCATTTAAGTTGAGCTTTCATTATATATGGAAAAAAAATAGCAGAAATCTACAAGAGAGCAGTTAGTAGAAAATCTGAGTGTCACAGTTTGCAAAGTTGAACCTCACCAAATGTCTGCTGTTCTAAACTCCCAGGGCCATTCCACACTTTGGGCTTATCTGGACTCCAGCACACCATTAACATGGACGGCAGGGATGAATTCACAGAGGACGGCGAATGCTGCAACAACAACTCGCAGGAAGTCCAAGGACAGGATAGCCTCACAGGTACGGGCCAGAGGGGCCAGGCGGACTCTGCGGGAACGTCCTGGGACTGAGGGGTGTGAGTGAGAATAAGCCCTGCTCTGTGCTCTGTTGTCTGTCTGTATTGATAGGGCTGTGTTTGCCTCCATAGAAGACAGCGATAGCGACCCTGACAACCACGGCGAAGACTTGTCCTCCAACGGCTCTGCTGACGACCACATGACTGACAACAGAGCGCAGTGCCGCCTTCAAGGGGCGGGTGTCAAAGTGGTGAGTCGGCTGCATGTTAGCTGGCTTGTTTTGTCGTGACCGTTTTGTTACAGTTTATTCCTCGTTTTGGGTTTTGCCACGTGTCAGAGGGCGGGGGAGCGTTCAAATCAAACCTCACTGAGCTTAGGGAATGATGAAATCTTCTCAGCGTCTCCGACTAGAACGCCACCGTCATTTTGAGCTGTTTGGTTTGAAGCCACAGGATGTAGTTTAAGAATCTGTGAAATTCTTAAACCTAACAGGTGAAGCTTTTCTTTAAGGATTATTTTATGCACGTGACAATAGTTTTTTTTTATTTTTATAAATATATATATATATATATATATATACATATATGAACAGATGTATTTGCACACTAGGAAAGATTCATGAAAGCTCTTTTATTGAATAATATTTCTTTACTCTTATAGCATAAACTCACATGATTTTATTTAAAAACTAGAGACAGTCTTCTGTCATTCCTAGTTGCACAATCTGTTTTCTTGGTTATCCAAAGTCCTTCGTCCTCTATTAGTTTCTCTTCTGATGATCTCATGACTCCAGAAATAAATTAGCCAGCAAAACTTCGAGTAATGTATCATTATATATGTTGCACAACTCTTGGATTCCGGTGTGGAGGTCAGACGGTTATGGCAGAAGGTTAATTTTGTATATGATAACCTATTTTTGTGATAATTAGGCTGTAGATGTTGGATCACTATATTTATGAAAGAGGCAACTGGATTCTGATTTAAATGCACTCTAACATGATCGCCACGGCTTTTGGACAAGTAACAAACCCACAGCATTACAGATCCTCCACTGTACGTAATTGTGGACATGAGGAAGCTTTGTTTGTGAAAAGCGCACTCTTAGACCCTGCAGATGATCAGTCACCAGGCAGTGTGTGCTTTCAGAACGAATGTTTATTGAACAAGAGGAAGCCCAACACCTTACGCTTTGTGTTGGTTTTCTTACACAAAGTATTAGCTGAATTTTAATCTCATTTTTACAAATGAAGGTAGTGTAATTACTTGATTCTGCTATAAAACCAAGTAACGTTTCCATGCCTGTAAAACGCATCAGAATTACACGGATCAAAATAAGCTCATTTGTTGGCAGACTTTTTTGTTTTTTTAAGTCTTTGAGCAGTTCAAGGTGTGAAAGCTCTGCTATCTACCAGTATGTTTTGTGGAGGCACCTTCTGTTTCCAAGTGCTCCACATTTCAATTTGAATGAGTAACATCTGTAACAGCGTCACGTGACCAATAATGACTCACTGACTTTTGCACAGTCATACACTCAACACATCATCCTACACCAACAGTTAGAAATAGCTTCCACGCAGGCTGACGTTAAGCTTGATACAAACAATGTCCTCTCTTGAATCATTAAAGGGTGAGCTTCATCTCACACCAGCAGCACATACGGCTTTTTAATGTGGATTTGCTTTCACCGCCCACACACACACACACACACACACCATACAGCTATGTGTGAATAAATCTACTCTAAAACTGTGCTTTTATTTTCCTCAGGAGAGCGACGAGGGGGCTGACCACAGCAACAACTTTGTCTGTCCTCTGTGCACGCTGGATTTCAGCAGCCCTGAGAGACTCATTTCACATGTCTACCAGGTGAGAACTGCGCTTGTTTCCAACTATAAAAACACGGAAACCGTTGCAGCATCTTGCATTTCTTTGTCTCAATTAGTGCGCACTTGTCAATTAGCAGCTTCCAACATTTCAGAGTCTGTTTTAACAAAAACAGCTTGTTAGAGGCAGTAAATCCGAATGTTTCACGTGATTCAGTTCAATGTCATGCCGAGAAAAAAGCAGAGTGCATTCTAAAACTAGCTTTTTTCTTTTTTGGTGAGTGCAAATACATATTTTAATTCTCTTGTAATCCAGTTGTTTATGTTGCACTAATTACGTTTTAATTTGAAGTGTCAAATGTCAAAATACTGCTATATGTGAGCACAGTTATTTCTACGTTAAAGTAAACATAGAGTAGTTGAATAGTAAAGATATTTTATTACTATAAAATATTATGGAGTTGTATGTGTTGTAACAGAAACGGATGACTCTGCCAGACATCAATTCAATCTTGTTACCTGAAAGAACCATTAAATGGTTCACATCTATTAATTTCTACCTTTTCGGTGCTTAAACACATCAACCAATTGCAGAAACTTCAATGTGCTTCTTTAGTTTTAATTCTCAAAGATATTTATATTTGGTTTTCAACATTAAACATTCGGGAAGAAAATGATGCACACAAGTTTGACGAATACAAACAGCGAGGAGTTTTGCAAGAGAAACACAAAAAAATTATATGAAAACTCAGACGTCTTCCATTTTAAAAAATCTGATGAATGTTAAAAACATATGATTTAATGAATTAACATCTATGATCTTTTCCTTGATTTTATATGTCAGATTTAAATCTCCATTGCTCAGAATCAGTTGAAACCTGGAAGTCTTCATAAAAATTTAGCACTTTCACTCAATAAGTAAATATGATGTAAAAAAATCTGTCAGAGGTTTATAACATTAAGTGTGGAGTAAAACATGGCTTTAAAAACTACTTCCTTTCACAATTGACTTCCTTTAATCCAATCATGATCCATCTTTCCTCTTTCTAAATTTATACTCTTACAGTTTATCACGGTAAGTTTATATGTTTATCTTTCTCCGCTCTTCTCCAGCATACAAGCATGATGAGCAACAGCAAGAGCTACGTGTGCCCGGTGTGTGGGCGAGCCCTGAGTTCTCCTGGCTCGCTTGGACGGCATCTTCTCATCCACTCTGAGGACCGCCTCTCCAACTGCGCCGTCTGTGGCGCACGCTTCACAGACACCAACAACTTTAACAGGTTCATCCCAAATCTGCTGCTGCTGCTGCTCGGCTCTTCCAGGCACAAGTTTGCAAGGAACTTGATGTCTGTTGTATTGAATGCGACGGGATTTAATTACTAGAATAGCACACTTTAAAAAAAATAAATAACGTGCATAAGCTGTATGACAAAGCTGTATTTTTACTCTTTCTATTGATGGCCAAATTCTTACCAATGATGAAGAGATAAAATATGGCAGACCAAAACGTTTCCTAAAGCTGGATGACGGTTAGGTGACGTGTCTCCAGCTGAGCACATCAGAATAAATGAAGAAGTGATTGTCCAGTGAGAGATGAACCAGACTGTATAACATGAAGGATGAATACATTTAGTCCTGCAATGACAGATCCATAGGAAATAAACTTGCATGTTGCTTAGCAACTGCAATTAGCTTTTTTTTTATTTTTATTTTTTTCCATTTAAACAGCCCCTTCAAGGTCGGAATACACAGCGGAAAGAGAGGGAGGGATAAATGATCAAACTCAACGCAGAACACTTACAAAATGTACGAGCAATTTAAAACTACCAGACTTTTCTGTGAAATCAGTTCGACTGTCTTCAGACAGTCTGCCATTTATAAAACATGTCGACGCAGTAACTCTGCAGTTTCAATGTTAATCATTATAAAAATCTACTTTCTTAAAAAAGAACCGGGAATGTCAGGGACCTGCAGCCTTTAAAATCTAAAGAGACGTTTTGCCATCAAAATACCACGAATCACAATGGAAACAGAACAATGTGCGGTAGAAATGAAATCCACAGTTACAGTGCAGGAGTTTAGCCTGCGAGGCAGTGAAGAAACCTTTGAGACGTGGTTGAAGACAAACGTTTAAAACACATGGATGAGGCTGATCAGCTCTGAACGCCCACGCAAAACAAATCAGACCTCAGCAAAAAGTCGTGGAGTGGGCGTGGCTCTCTCATAATCTAACTTCCTGTCCAGCTACTGTGGAAAAAAAGGCGACAAGAGCCAAAAAAAATCCCTCTAAGTCATCAAGACTTGCTGTGTGAACGTTGCTAAAGAATCAGATGGAAAGTGGAGGCCTTGTTTCAGCTAACCTTCTGTCTTATTGCAGGGAAAAGCTAAAAGATGTCCTCGACACAAGCAGGATGGACGTCACTGGTGGACGGGACTCCTGCTCCATGTCCCAGTCCCTCTCCAGCAGCCCCATGAGCAGCCCGGGCTCCAGCACGCACTCCTGCCACGGAGCGGGTCCCAGTCCCAGTTCCTGTCAGGGCCCGCCTCCCTGCCAGGCTCCCGATCCGACATCCACCCTCTGTCAGGCCCATCGCTCCTGCCAGGCCTCCAGCCACATCCCAAACCAGTGTCAAGGACCACGGCCGTGCCACGCGTTAAGCCCAGGTTGTGGACCGTGCTCGGGGTCCGATCAAGGACCCACCTTTCCTTCTCTGTCCGACGGGCTCCTGTCCGAAGGCCCGTCGCTCGCGTCCATCCCCGACGCCCTCAACTCCTCCTCTTCAGCCCTTCCTCCCATTCCCGACATCATGAGCCCGATGCCCGTCTACCCCGCCGGAGTCCTGCTGGTGTGCAACAGCTGTGTGGCGTACCAGCAGCTGGTGGAGGCGCAGTCTCCGATGCGGAAGTGGGCGCTGCGTCGCAAGAATGAGCCCCTGGAGGCTCGCCTGCAGCGCTTGGAGCGCGAACGCACCGCGAAGAAGAACAAGCGCGCCTGCGAGACGGACGAGGAGAGGGAGCTGAGGAGGCTGCGGGACCGCGAGGCCAAGCGCATGCAGAGGATGCAGGAGACGGAGGAGCAGAGGGCGCGGCGGCTGCAGAGAGACCGGGAGGCCATGCGGCTAAAGAGGGCCAACGAGACTCCGGAGAAGAGGCAGGCCCGGCTGATCCGCGAGAGGGAGGCCAAGCGGATCAAGCGGCGGCTGGAGAAGATCGACCCCGCCCTCAGGACACAGATCGAGCACGATCCCGCCGCGATGGCCGCTCTCACAGCGGACATGAGTCTCTTTCAGTTCCCCTGTCCCATGCCGGTTCCTTCCATAGATAACGGTCTCTTCATGAAGCTGCCATGATCCCTGGGGATCCTCTAAAAACTCCCCCCAGTCTGTGCCGTCAGGTTCCCATTACCACAGCGAACCATTCCTGTCCTACTCTCCCCCGCTCCCCAAAGCCCTCTGTATTCATGCAAACTTCTTCAATTTCTAATTTATTACAGTCTATAAAACCTTGGAAACAGGGTTGAGAATGTTTCTTATTCTAAGAGCATGCTGTAAAGAGATTTATCCGTGTTTCAGTGGACTCTCAGAGGTGATAATACATTCTGGTGGGAGCAGTTATTCTTGCTTCAACTGAAAAGAAAAAAAATCAAAAAATCATTTGCACATGGATCCTGAGTGAGGGGAGTGTGGACCCTGTAGCTGCAGACCCTCCCGCCCCCCCCGGTCCTCCCAGCCCAGTAACTCAGACTCCGGTAGCTGCGCCTCTCTCTGTTTTCTAGCTGCTGCTGTGGAACATTCATGTCCAAACTACTACCTCATCCGGCGCCGTGGACGGTCGCTCTCTGTCCTGTGGCTTACCAGCTCCAAGCCTCCAAAGCTACACACACACTATACAAGACTACAGAAGACGCAGGTCGTTTCCCCACACTTTTAAGTTTTGATAGTCCTCTTTATGGCACTTTAATAGGAAGCATGCATTCGTTTATGAATGTTTGTTCCTATTGAGCTGCCAGGTGTCGAAAAGAATTCCTATGGACATCTTCATTCACGTCGTCTTTTTTTTTTTTTTTTTTTTTTTTTAAGCACTGTGTGTAATTTGTTTGTTTGTTTTTTTAAACTCAGTCTCTGCTGCTGTTATTGTACTGAACATTACATTATGTACCTCTTATATATTTTGGTCTCATTACAGGGAAAAAGAAAACCCAACATGTTACCTGTTGACCTCATATTTTGTCGCATTACTTGAATTCTGTCTACGAAGAACCATTTGTGTTTTTTATGCTAATTAGTGAACATGTTAGTATTGTACAGAAAGTCGTGCTTGATTTTAATGTGCTTTGTGCAATTCCTGTGGCATTCACATTCTCTGTGAGTCTGCAGTATCTTATGTTTTTATTACCACTTACATTTTTATATATTTTCTTTTTTTACATCCACAAGTCTGGAGAAAAAAAAATCATGTTAAGAGGTGAGAATCATTTACAGGTATATCTAAATAAAAAAAAATAGGATGTCGTTTAAATGTTAATTTATTTCAATTATCTAATTCAAGAGTTGGATTCATGACAGAGTAATATATTTCAAGTTTTCTAAATCCTCTCAAACTTGTGGCTATAATTGCTGCTTCTTTTCTCCCACATTTTTTCCTTCCACTCAATTTTCCATTATTCTGATAGAACACAGTTATCAGCTACTTAACAATCTTGTGTCTTGGTTATCCAAATTAATTCAAATAAATGCTTGATAAAACTCACTTAAATAAATGAATTATTCAGTAACAATCCAGCTTATTGAGATATACCTGTATGATGTTGTCCTCCCCTTTGTTAGCACAGAGGCTTGTTTATTTCCAGGATATGTTTTTATATTACTGATCCTCATTCCAGCACATATTTATGCAACATGATACTTTTGTTTTCTTGTAAAAGTGTTTGCCGTATTTTGCTGGTATAATCTGTTTCATATTTGCGTTAGAGGCCCAGAGTGCATCATCCCCGCGTTGTTTTCAGTTACCTCCACTCCTCTTGATTTCTCTAGACGCAAAACTTTCCACCGTCAGACGAGCAGTTTCAGTCTCTCCAAGTAGTGTTTCTGTTTGAGTCACACCTAGAAGAGCGTCGTCGTCCTGCCTAAAGAAAGCGTGAGATGCTGATCTGGGTCGGGACTTTTGGCTTTCCTAGGCGTGCATCAAACTTCTATGCAACAGATTTATTGTTTGTGAAGGAAAACGATTTCAGTTGTCAAAGAAACTATGCAGAACGCAGCTTCAAAAATGTTTCATCGAAATTCAGAATCAGACGCTCCGCTTTCTCAGAGCCCAGACCGTCGAGATGCATTTACCTTTTTTAACTCGTGTCAAAGAAAAACATTTCAGTTTGATCAGTAGAGGAAATAATCGCTATTGTTCGCTGTACCAATAACTGATCGCATCACGTTTGGGGGAGGATACGTTGCACTGGTTTTATTTTTCAAAGTTCAGCGCACTAAAGCAAGAAGGTCTCACTGCCATCTCATAGTGACGTTCTCTGCTGAAAGCGAAAGGCTTCAGGTTTTTGTCCCAGCCTATGAATGCTGGGTATTCTCAGAGGCGACGCCGTCAGTCTGCTGTGAACCAGCAGCAGGACGACTGTGGACTCTGGGGCGTCACTTTGTCCTTTGGCTCACTTTGGGTTAGGTCAACACTGCATGTCCCTGAAACTGCACTAGTACTAGAGTTGTTCAGTATGAGCCTGTGTTCTGTTAGTTTATGCCTGCTTTTTTTTCTTCTTTTTTTAAACAGTTTAATTGAAAAAAAAATGTTTTAAATGTTGGCCTTTTGATATTAATGCGATCAGGATTTTTCTCTCAATGTCCATGTTTACAAAATCTGTATTTCTGCAAAAGGCCAAATGAATGAGCTAAACTGCAACAACATGCCTGGTTGTCATATCAATGTATTCTGACTGGATGGCCCTTCAGGGACACCGTCCTCTTGTTACCAACTCAAACTATGTACAGACCATAAGGAAACCTGGTGAAGAATGTGGAAATAAACATCAAGTTTAATATAAAGCCAGTGTTTACCTTCTGTTGCTCTTGAGGCAGTCACTCATACTGAATGGTACATCAGTAGGTCCTTGAGTTGTTACATTACATCATGAACAAATTACCATTTAATCTGAATTGGAAAAATTTAAAATAAAAAAATGACTGATTTATTATTTTAGGTTGTACATGCTTCATTTAACTTTTCGAGGAAGCAAGTTTTTAGCTTCTCACCAGTGGAAACACTATTTTAATGAACAAAATAGTCACATTTGTAGATAAAGGATCAGTAATGTGAAAAGGATCTCACATATTTGCCTTGATAAATTAAAGGCACACAGTATTACAGGAGCATTTACTTTTTTCAGCTCATGTGAAAGAAAAACATTTTAGTTTGATGAGTAGAGGAAATGATCGCTGTATTTCCCTGTCTGCTTTCAAGTCATGCAAGTACAGCTCAAAAGATTTTAATGTGTGAAAGTGCAACATTTCTTCACAGTAAGTTCAGGAAGTGAGAGATTCATTACATAAAATTAAATATTTCAAGCTTGAATCAGTTGCAAGCTGCGGAAAAACATCCTGAGGGCCCTAAATGCCCCGCGAGCTATAATAAAAAAAAACATTTTAGTAGTAGAAGTACACAAATATCTTTACTAGTTTGCATGAAAATGTAAAAAATACTTGCCAGCTAATGCATTTAACCATTTTGTCCAAGACTTGATTCGTTTAAGCTCCAGAAAACTAATTTGTCTTCACAAATTTCATAAACCGAGGAATCATACCTGCTGCTGGAACCGCTGTCTCAGATATTTAAATGGTAACATGTTAAATAGTCAAACACACAGAAAACAATCTGGGTTTATCAATTTTATTTATATTTGTATATATATTTATATATATTATATTGTGTTTACTTAAACATGATAAATGCAACGTCTCATGTTAGCTGTAACAATAAAAATACAATATCTTTGTGTCCTTAAAGTACGTAAAATTAAAACAGCAAAACAAGTAAAAAAAAAAAAAAAAAAACACCCTAAGAAGTTCACAGAGGTACAAATATACAGTACAAATCTATTGTATTTAAAAAAAAAAGGGTACAAATAAAAATGCAACAAAATAGAGATATTAATGCTTTCTTAAAGTCAGGTAGGTGTGGGTTTTTTTTTCTTCCTAAGGGAGCACTTTGGGTCAACAACTCTAAGGCTTCTGATAGAGATCAATACATATTGGTACGGCCATACAATATTAAAACTCACTATACAAAGTTCATACAACCTGGATTATACTTGAGGATTGAATGTTACATTTACATAATTGCATATATTTTGCAGATTTAGGCATTTTAAAAGAAAATAGGAAAAAAAAGATGCTGTTCAGTTTTTAAGTTTCACATCACAAAAAGCAATGTCACCTTGTGCAGAGGAAAAAACAAAAAAACAAATTTAAAAAAAATCATGTCAAATCTGAAAATACAGACTTCTTTAAAACTTTTAACCATTTGCATTCTCCTGATTTGATTTGACATCAAGCAACACCACAATCTTACTAAGTTTGTGTTAGCAGTTTAATAAAAGATGGACGTAGTTCATACTTTTCCGCTTCTGCCGCCCAGAAACGTTGGGACGCAGCGCCGGACCTTTCACAACCTGATGATTCTGGCCATTAAAAACCTACTGATCTTGTGCAATAATAATAATAATAATAAAGAAACATCTGCTCTGTGCATCTGTCTATGCATGGGTTAAGTGGAAGGATTTCTCCTCCACAGCTGATGCTCTTGAACTCATCTTGTAAAAAAAAGTGCTGAGGAAAGCTTCTTGCGCTTTCTCCTCCACATACTGAAAATCTACAGATTAAAAAGTCAGAGATAGGAATATAAAACAAACAAAAAAAAAAAAGAAACAAAACTAAAAAACGGGAGGCAACGAGTTCTACAAAACTCAGTCTCATCGACGTGCGCAGGTTTCTGCTCGTCAAGCCTGACCTTTCTGATATGCTCTCGTACAACCTGAATGGAGAACACAGAGTCCGTTGTTCGTTTGGACACATTGTACAAAGCTGAATTTAAGGCATTATAAACAAGCGTCATCATCATCATCATCTTCGATCAAAGCTATCTACACAGGAAAAAAAATACAACCTATCTACAGAAACACAAAACCTGCGATTTCTCCACGATTTTGTGTGCTTTACAATTGGAAAGTCTTCAGTTTACCAACAGATTTCATTTGCGAACACTGAAGGACGACATTTAGTGCAATTTTATACAACGACGTGACGGAGGATTCATTTTTTTAAAAACAGCACATGCCACTCAAAGCGAAGGATGGGAACAAAGAGGAAATCATCGACGCAGGACGGCCTCGCTTGGGGGGGGGGGGTTGAGACCACAAGTGGCACTGCTTCCACCAGACAGTGAACCCCATTGAAACTGTGACCTCAACCAAAACAACGCCGGACGGACGGTCCAAGAGGCGCGTCTCGAGTGATTTGGCTTTAAATGCGTGGCGTCAAAGAAGGAAGATGGAAACGGTTTCACTCAGCATTCAGAAAGACGACAACTGTTGGACGACAACAACAACAAAAAACACAGAGGTAAACCAAAAACACTGCTTTTAATTCCTATAAAGTAGGTCAGTCAAAAAGAAACGTTTCAAACGACTGCATCCGACAATCAGAGCTGCTGCAGCTCAGTACACTGAAGACAATCCTGGACGTTGGTACTGAGATTACTGCATAGAAAACACCAAGACCACATAAAGTTATCGACTCACGATGAATGAGTATTGCTTACGCTTTGACGAGCATGTGTTGGGTGCTGGGCGGGGGGAAAAACTAAACCCTCTTTGCCCTCGTCCATCGTAGCAGTACAGAAATGCCTTCCGCATAAAAATGCATTCAGGAATCGATTTGTAATCAATCACACTTCAGTATCAACCAAAACAAATACCAAAAAGGTTCAAATTGTCCATTCCTGAACCTCTGACTGTAATACGCTTTACTGCAACTACTTTTATAAACTGGTTTGAGGTCAAGAAGGAGAAGCCATACGGCCAGCAGAAGCAGTAGCTCTGTGTGTGTGCAAGAGAAAATCCCCTGAAGCTTTTGGGCAAAATGAAAATGCTTTAAAGTGAATAATCGCGTTATATTCAAGTTTCATAAAAAAGGACCAGAAACTATTAATGTGTCGCTTTTCTGATGGGAATGTCTGCATGAGGAATATCGTCTGATTCGAGACCTCCGGATGCATTTATGTATGATCTAATTGCACTTTCAATTTCTCAAGATAGAAATACGTCAGAAGGTAGGAACTGCAGCATTCATCTCGGCTGATTTGTAAACAGTTAAAAAAAAAAGAGAAAGAAATACAAGTCAGTTTTTTTTTTTGTTCTGCTTTCTCCCAACAACACTTCAAACTGATTCCCTTCAAACGACGAGATAAAAACAGGAAGCTGTGATTCCTACAGAGGATGGACTGAATGAACACGATGGGCGACAGAAGACATTAGAAAATGACTTTGAATTGAAACACAAGCAATCTGTTAAACCAGAGCCTCCTGAAAAGTTGCATTTCGGAAAATTAACGAGTCAACAATTTAGTTTAAATGTTGTTTGAATTTAACAGAAGAGCGTGTCGAAACTGAAGACCAAAATAATGCATCGTCTCTTTGTAGCGGACCAGACAATGAAATTCCCGGGACAGCCAAAGGCTTCGGGGGGAAACAACAAAACTATTGCTTTCTTTAAAAGAACGGAGAAAAGACAAGACTCGAGCTTCGACACGGCCTCGCTCGCGCACACACACGCACGCGCACACACACACACACACATTCTCCTTTCAGGGCAAATTGCAAGATGCAACAGGTGGGTGTTTCTCTCAATCGTTTCCCCCCAGACGGCTTAAGTGAAGAAGCAGCCAGCGCCTCCTGCAGCGAATACATGAAAACGCACCAAAGTTCACCGACCTGGTGGAGAAAGCCGAGAGGTACAGAGAGAAGCGGGGCATCGATTACTCCCTACGTGGAAAAAGAAATGTACTCCAAATGACAAAAATCACGCTGGAATGCAAAACTCTGTTGTCTCAGAGAGAAAAAGGCATCGTTTCAGTTCTGATGAAATGGAGCTAAATGAAGGAACAGGGAATTGATCAGTGAACAACTCGATTGTAAGACATGCAAGCCTGCGCCGTTTTTTGCCCTGAAACAGAATCTTGCGTCTATCTTTGGAGACTGACTTACTAAAAACGAATGAGTTGGAGAGAAACAGAGACAGATTTCCTGCTGACAGCTGGTCTTAATGGACGACATCACACCCTGTTGATGTCAGGGGCTCCACTTTTTTGGGGGGTAAATGCTTCATAAATATACATATAAAGAGATAAAAAAAATAATATTTTAGGAGTGTTGACATCTAAAGATCGCTGGCTGTGATTTTTAACATCAGAGTTGGTAGCTGTGCTTTGAGGCTGCACGCATTGTTGCATTTCCCATTGAGAGCGTTTTGGTCAGAAGGTAAAAGCCAAAGTGTCGTTTTGTGAAAATGTCCAGGTGTGGGTACAAGGAGGTGGAGACGAAGGAGGGAGCGAGGAAGAGAAAAGCAGTGTGTAAGGACTATGGCAGGCGTTTAGAAGCTACATACGTTCTACTTAGCTTTTCATGTTCCTGTCAGACCTCAGCAGGCTGGGAAACCAAAGGTTTCTGTTTTTCGTGGCTGAGTAACATCGAAGCGAAGCTCCTCAAGAAGCTCGACAAAATCATGTGTCTTTGTGTACTTTTAGGTGTGCAAAATCTCAAACATTCTGAGGCTACATTCACACTGTTTTTTTCCTCTTTCTCTCCTTGTCAGACTCGTTCTCGCTCCTGGCAGTCTCTCCTGCGGTTGCTACCAAATGTGATGCTACTTCCCTGCGTTAGAGCGCCCCTCGATGGACAGTTTCACCTCCTGGGGGATGAAAGAAGGCCTCGTGTGGCCAGAGGCGATTATCTGAGGGCGCGACCCTTCGTCTCCCTTCATGCTGTATCTTTGGAGGCCAGGCGACGACCAGCGCCTCTGAGAGGCGCCGAGCGCGGCCTGCGTGGCGGGCATGCCGGTCCCGGCGAAAGCGGAGCCCTCTGTGTGCAAGTGGTAGCTGCTCTGACTCCTGGGATGCTCCGTGGAGGTCCGGCCTCGCCGGACGGGGGATTCAGTGTGTCCAACAGCTGCTAAGTGTGCTTCGTCCTTTTCCAGCACGCCGCCCTCGCCGTCCTGCTGCCGTTCTCTGTGGACGCGGTCCATCCTGAAGTGAGCCTGCGGCCGCAGCTGTTGGGGCGCGGGAGGCCCCATGAGCTGGTGACCGGGTCCCGATGCCGCGTTGCTTTTGCCTAAAGTTCTTGACACGTTCTGCTGCTGCGAGTTGTGATGCTGCGGTTGCTTCTGCAGCTGCGGCTGAAGCTGCTGCTGCTGCTGCAGCGTGATGGACACGCACATGTCCCCTACTTGCAGGAGGTGGCAGGTCAGGCCGTACAGCTGGGCCGTGCGCTCGGGGCTGCACGACGACCAACCCTGGCCGAACACAAAGAACGGGTGCTCTGGCGGGACGTCGATGGTCACCTTGCTCTGCTGCTCCCCCACCGTGAAATGCAGAGACACCAGACCCGGTCTCTGCTGGCTGGACCGGATGTCCATCACCATGCTGGAGTCGATCTTGAGCCCTCCGCTGACCTCTGCACTTCGCACAAAATCCTGAGTTTGCAGATCCTCCACACGCTTCAGCTCCCCCGTGGCCAGCTGGATGATCGCCCCCTTCATGAAATGTGACGGGTTACTGCCAGGCGCCGCCGCCGGGATACCTGAAGCTTGAGTTGGCTCTGCTGCAGAGTGAACCGATGGCTGTAGAGAAGGCTGCTGCTGCTGATGATGATGCTGCTGCTGCTTAGCTGCGGTCGGCTCCACCTTTTCAGGGAGGCCGGCTCTGCCTGGAGACTCAGAGGTTTTAAAGCTTGGGTTAATGGAGGCCTTTGCGGCGGCGGCGTCGCTCGCCTGTCCTGGGTAGTGTTGCTGCGGCTGGGACTGACGCTGCAGCTGATAGTCGAGAGGAACGAGCACCGGCTGCCCGTTGGTCAGCATAACGGCGTGACCCGGCTGCTGCTGGAGCCCGCCGACTTTGTGTTCAACGTAACTCAGCGGTTGCGCCGAATGCACAGCCCTGCTGGAAACAGCCGGGCTCTCTCCGTGGACGTCTCTGGTTCTTTGGACCCCCTGAGAGAGATTCAAGGGGGCAAACGAGACCTCCTTCCGCACCCCGCCAACACCTTGACTCGAGCTAGCCAGGTGGCCAACAACCTGCTGCACCTGGGAGGCAAACCGAGGAGTCAGTGTGGGGACATTTTGAGTTTCATTGCAACAAACATTTAAATCTTAAAAGTTGCCTTTTGAAATAAATTCACAAAACTTTTTACGGGCTACTTTTCCCACAGTAGAATTCAAGTCCTTTTCAAGTATTTTCAAGTTAAGTTTTCAAACCTTTCCAGCTCCACATTTTGTAACCAAAACTACACAAATTAACTAAAAAAAAACAAAAACAACAACAAAAAAAGTCCTACGATGACAAATTTTACAACCTGTAAATGACATACTGACGGCCAACTTCTTTTTTTTTTTACAAACTTAATACATTTTGATTATAGCCTGCCCCGGTGAAGATAGAAAACAGAGTAATTAGAAAAATGTGCATTAATTCCAATCAACATCATCTCAATAAATTCAACAGCATGGTTGAAATTTCGTGCCTGTTCTAATTTTTAGGCTCCATTATTGAGCCGTGAGCAAGTCTTACCTCCAGATCGCTGTCCGGAGTGCTGCGCTGACCAGGAGAGCTTCGGCCTTCCAGGCGTCGGTTCTGCAGGGCCCTTTCTTGGCTGTGCTCCTGCGCTGCGGAGATGGACACTACCTGCTGCAGATGTGCATTTCTGGAAGCGTAGGCAGAGTCGTGCAGGACGTCCCTGACTCCTTGCTCTTTATCGCCGCCATTAATCTCTGCTTCGTTGTGGAGGTCGCCGGGGACGGACGCCCCCCGGCTGCTCTGGGGCTGGTAGAAGATTGGCATCCCTCTGGAGCTGATCTCTGAGGCAGGTATGACCCCGATAGTACCAATGTGCTGCTGGGCGGCTTGCTCTGAGGGCATCATCAGCGGGACGCCACCTGGCGCTGCAAGTTTGGTAAACGTATGAGCCTGGGCCTGGGGAGGTGGGGAAACCACTCCGTCCTGTATGACGGATGGATAGGGAACCAGGTGGGACACGGCATGGGGCTGAGGGATGGCGCCTGACGGAGAAATCAGCGATCCAGGGACGAAGCCGGACGGGACGGCGTAAGGAACGGCAGCGTACGGTGAACTAACAAACTGGAGAGACGGATGAGGGATGTGAGCGTAACCCAGGGGAGGATAGGGAAGGCCTGGATGCTGCAGGAGGGGAGAGTGTACGGTGTATGTGGGCGAGATGTGGCTTAACACTGGGTGGAGGCTGGTGGGCGAGTAGGTAACAGAAGGAACAGCCACTTTATAAATCATACTGTACTGATCGACAGGCCCCGCTGAGATGCTCTCTGAATTATCCACTCCATAGTGATGCTCCGGATGAGTTCGTGGCCACTCTGCTGATGGATTCCCTCCCTGAGTCTCACTGCCGGCTGCAGAGTTGTGGATGGAAACAACTTCAGCTTCTCCGTTACCTCCTCCAGCGGCGCTGCTGGCGCCTACCGAAGCTCCGCCCCCGCCCGCCCCTCCGCCACCGCCGCTGTTGCTGTGAGGGAGGTCCCTCTTCTTAGGAGGCAGGCTCTCCTGGTTGCGCTCCTGAGCTGGTTTCATTGCAATCCTTTGACCAACCAAGTCGCTTTACTGCACGGCACAGGAACTGAAACCTGCAAGCCAGCCAGCCCGCACCGCAACCAGCTCTGAAATCACCTGGCTGACCCTGTCTGCCAGTTCACCTAGGAAGACACACAACACACACACTCAGGATGTGTAAGTCTAAGGCGTAACTCAACATAAAAGGAGAAAAATACAGAACTGTTTAGGGTTTTTTTTAACAGTAGACATGTCATACTATGAGTTGTGTCTAAAAAAGAATAATTGCGCTTCTCTGAAAAAGTTTGTAAATAAAAATAATGCATGCAATCAAAAGCTTGGCTGGTGCAGATCAAATAATAAACCATTTTAATAAACTCACCTCTGTCACAACATAATAAGCAATAAATCAATTAATAACATGACACATTCAAGCAAACTCAATCATTTCTATTTACATAAATTATAATTTTTCTCTTTTTTTTTTCTTCTCTTCCTACCAAAAACTAGATGACAAAAGTCTTCAGTCTGGTGCTTTTGTCTCAACTAGCCCTTTGTTGAAGAACAATTTTGTTCACAGAGACTTTTAAAATTTATTTTATGTATTGTTTTCTGTTGTTTTGTTTATTCATTTTTGATATTTAAACCATCTTCCGGTTCCAGTGTTAAATGTCCATTAGAATTTAAAGTCTATTGATCTTTGAGGAATATGAACTTGCATTATATTGCTTGAAAGTGGTCTTAATCCAATATTGTTTATCGCAATAACTTCTGGAGCAATTTATCGTCCAGCAAACTTTGTTTTCAAGACTTAATTTATAAAATAAAAATAATTGCAAATTTTCTAAAGCCAAAAAAACACACAAAAAAAAACAACTAAATAACTGTTATAATTATGTAAGGATTTTGAGGTCAATATGAGATTCAAAGCAAGAAAAGAAACAAAGATTCACTGACCTGATAATAGGAAAAACCATTTTCAGATTTCTGTAAACTTTATTAAATTACATTTTTTATGTTTTAAGACCATTGAGATTTAATTTTAGGATCTACATAAATTAAGGAAGCAATAACTACTTACACGATTGTTCTTCTAGATGTTTTTAAAAACCATTTAACCACACAGCACAGACTAACTTGATGACAGGTTTTGCTTTTTTGTTGAAACCTCTGTTTTCGAAGCTAAAACTTGCTCAAAATTCATTCATATTTGGCCAAATCCGATGATCCCTCAACAAAAGCTACCATGCATGTAAACGTAACCGAATACCTGCAGGGTAAAAATCTGCGAGGCTGCAGAAAACCTGCACATTAAAAAAGCATTACAGCCATAGAGGCATCAAAGTGAAACATGTACAACTACCAAAGAACTGAAATTACAACTAAATTTGCATCAGAAACACACCAGACTCTGAGCTATTTATAACATGAATCATCTCAAGTGTTGCCTTCTTTCAGGGGGAAGATCTGTGGCCATTGAACCAGTCTGCAACATGTCAGCTTCAACTTCAGTAAAATCACTTTTAAACAGGGTGAAGAGTTTAAAACAGGCATGTTGATCAATGGTTGGAATCATTTATTAATTTAGTAACTTTTTCTCATTTCTCTTTATGCACATTCTTGATTTTTCTCATCGAAAACTTCTCAGCTAAAATTTAAAAAAAACCACAAAAGAAGAGAGGAATCAAAACTATCGCCAGAGTTTTGGGTTTGTTTAACTTCCATATCAAAAGTCAGTTTTAATCGTTAGCCTCCTGGCTCATTTGGCTAAAGTTAGCTAGCTACCTGGACATACATAAATAGTTTCCTCTTTAAATATTAGAGCTGGCACGGTGACAATTATCCCCCCGGCAATAAACACTCAACACGTTTCTAACGCGGACATTTAATAATATCGGTTCATTCTATCAACACAGCTGTTTATTATCTGAAAACATCGAGGAGGAGGAGGCTAGTTAGCTCCGCGGCTAACTAGCCACAAGAGTCTGACTCACAGCTAAGATGGCAACAAACGCAGCGTTCGCCGCAAATGTGCGTCTCGTCCCGCACACTCACCTTCTAATGTCATCGCGGACGGGCGTTTCTTTGTAATAAAAACAAAAGTGGACATGCGAGGGGGGATGATTGGAAGGGGAAAAAAAAAATAATCAAGGCTAACGAGTGAAGCCCATCTCAAAGGCCAGCAGAGGCGCTCGCGAATGATGTCACTGCTTGATTCAATTTCCTGTTTTTCCAAGTAAGTGGTGTGTAATGTCTATTTAAGAATAAGCATTTGTGGTCCAATTATGCGGGAGGATGAGGCAGCAGCTATAAAGCAGGTGTTGAATGAAGTCAGTTGAATTAATTGATAGAATAAGCAGCAGGGAGGGACTGCTGTTGGGATGAATTAGTTAAATAGTTGTATATTACATATAAAGAAAACACCAGATTCAGTTTCTAAAAATGTAATAAGACTGACTTTTAAAAAGTCCACTGAAAAGTATACCCGGAGTATGCTTGACTGGGGCTTCTTTTCCTAAATTACTGCATCGATGCAGCGTAGCATGGACGGTGTCAGCCTGTAGATCTGCTGAGGGGTTAGTAAAAACCTGCATTGCTTTTATAGCATCTTGCAGCTCAGTGTTATGTTGGACATGAAGCTCAGTGATGCCATGGTGGTTAAACACTGCATTTCAGCTTTTTGAAATTTGGATTTATTTTGAAAAGAGTACTTTGAGCCCCCAAGTCAGGGTCCAGTCTTTTTTTTCCCTTAGAATTAGATTAACATAAGGAAAGCAACGATTATTACACATTTATTACACATGTCCAGGAGCTCTGTGGGTGGTGGCTTTTAAAGTTCTGACTCTTTAATGGGCTTTGCTTCAAAATCATCTTAAAGTTGCTGTTCTTCCCTTTGTTTGTGCAACTTCTGCTACACTTTTTCCTTCCACTCAATTTTGATTCAATATGCTTGGACACATAAATCTGTGTTTCTGCCCTTGCAGTCTTTCCCTTGAAAGTACAGATCCTTCTATGGCCATAACATATTTCTGTTTTTAACAGCCTTATATAAAAATGTTCTAAGAAACTACATTTGTAATTTTCATAATCATCCAAATTAACTGGAACTCCTCACCTCTCCATTCCCTACTAGAAATACATAATTTTGTGTGATATGAATCTGCAGAAGAGCGCATTTGAATTTCACATTTTGAGTTTAATCAAGGAAACAATTTGTCTTATGTTTCCATTTTTTGTAGTGCACCTGCACCTCTACGATTGTCATTTTTAGAACAAGAAAAACCTTATGTGAGACTATTCTAGAGCAACAGAAAGTGAATTGACCTTTTTGTTTTTGACACATCGTCATGAAGCATACATGCCTGGTTCTGTACATAGATGTGAATCAGCAGCACAAACCCACAACTGATATAAAAAACCACACAAACACCTACGAATACTAGGGACTTGCAGACTCCTTCTAACCAGACGAGCTGCATCCTTATTGTACAATGCTTCGAGTCAAGAATAAATTTAGAAGAAATATAAAACAAACGACGAAAAGCAAAGCTAACAGCATGGACGGTGAAGGAAAAATCAATCGACCTCTACTTTCAAGTGGAGGAATGAATGCAGAACAAGTCTGTGTCGACTGTTGGTTCGGTCAAAATTGCTTTAATAGTTGATTTTTGACTCTGTTAGAGTCCATTAGAGTTTTTCACACTTTGATTGCATGAAGCGACTTAAATGACACACAGCAGGGGGAGCCGGAGGGTTGTGTTCTGAAATGATTTCCTGTATGAAATATGTTTTCACCGAATCATGTCTGGTTTACATTTGATTATCATTTTAGAAATTTGAAGAAAGCAAAAACAAAATGCAATATTGAAAAAGTGATCCCAGATTTGTGTCTAAAAGATAAATATCCAAATTGCAAAAAGAAAGAAAAAACATTGTTTTTATTTATTTTGATTTATACTTAAATAATGACTTTGGCACTAAATCAAAAATTATATTTTCATCCAATTCTTATGGTAATTTAGATTCAGTCAGATAGATAAAGACACAAACATTCAAAATGGAGAATTTTACTATAAATTTTATTTTGTTTTGCCTCAGATTCTTTTACTTCTGGATAATAAACTATATTTTTAATTCTTGGACTGGATTTAGATGCATCCCCAGTTTGGATGCAAAACAAAGCTTTTCCATTCATATTCGTTTGTTCATCTTTTGAACAACAGGAAAGTTAAGTAGTCTTGAACTGACAAATCTTCTGCATTGTGTCCTTTATTAACTTGAGGGAAAAAGAGCAACTTAACGTAAAAACTAACAGAAAAAAACGAAACAAAAAAAACTGATTCTAAGAAATAGATGGTTTGTGGGAACCGTTTTAGTTTCTCTTCAGATTATATTCCCCACTTGTGGTGATAGTTTCAGCAATAATCCTACAAAACATTTCTTGTTATTAAACCAGCTTGGATTTAACAGCTAATACAGTAATTGTGTGGAAATGCAGAAGTAATAAGACATCTGAAAAGCTTTGGAGCTGCAGCAGAGGTAGGGTAGATTATTTGCAGCACATCGACAGGAATAGTTTCACTACCATACAAGAAAAGTAAAGGTGTCAGCAAGTACGTGCTCTTTCAGCAGTGTGATGTTTCGCTGCAAGAAACGGCAACAAGACAAAGTTTGAATCCTGAGTAACGTGACAGATGAATCATTAACTCCTTATTGTCACTGCTCTTGAGTTTTTGGGTAAATCCAGCTAGAAAATAAAAACTGTACCCACACCTGAAGAATAATTCATTAATTTGCAGCAAATACCTGAGCTTTGCAGGATCACTGAGGTTCTGATGCCATGTTCAGCAGGCAGCAGGCAGAAAAGTGGGGGAAAAAATCCCACTGGATTGAGGGTAATGTTGTTGGAAGGTAGCAGTGTGCAGACCACAGTAACTCAGTTCTGACATCCTGCACCGATACCGCAGTTCTCCGATACCAAAACAATTACAATGAAATATTAGAAATAGATAGAATCACTATCATATGATTCTTCTTTATCTGAAAAACAGCTATGCAGACTTTCTATTCTATTTTGAGAACTTTGTTACATAAAATAAACCAAACTGGATTTCAACTGGGTCCATTTAAACTGAAGCAAGCACAAATGTAAATTTATGGCAAGTCAGCTGCTGCTTTAATTTTTTTTGCCAACCTAACTACTACATAAAGTTTGGTTTGTGATATTGGTATCTGCCATTCACTCGTGTTTTTCCCTGATACAATATAGGCCAGGATATTTTTAATCTTCTAAATCTGATAAGTTTAGTTACAATGCAGCAGACAGAGGTCACATCTGGGGTACCCCAAGGTTCAGTCCTCGAACCCCTCTTATTTAATATGATTGAAACAGTCAATGGAGAATCTTTTAAATGCCTTGTTGCTGAAATGTATTGTACAAATAAAATGTGATTGGATTTTATAAGAGCTCAATAAAATAAAAACAAAAACACCACCATTCCATTTGAAAACTAGTATAATTATTTGCTGCTGGTATACATAATTGAGCTACATGTTTCATTAGCAAAAACAGCTTCAGTGCAAACCCCCTGAACTCTAGTACATTTACAGCTCTGCTAAGTCACAAGTATTAGAAACAAAATTAGCTAAACAGAGTAAGAATATAGTTACAAAGAACAGTCAATCTTCCTCATAAAAGGCACAAAGGGTGTACAGAAGTAACTGTGTCCCTCTTTGAGAACATTTGCATAAGTGAATAAATCCATCTGCTGATCATCCATCTGAAAAAATGCCAGAGGCGTCGCTTCATCATACGATTACAGCAGAGTGCAACAATGTAAATCAGTGGAAAACCTGCATATAAATACATCTCCTTAAAATACAAAGACTGAATCAAGAATAAAGAGTTATTTAGTACCATTAATCAGAATGAACAGAAACATTTCAAATATACAGTATTTATAATATTTGCCAAAATTATATTCAACAGTTGCCTTATAATACGCCATTCTATATTCTGGGGAAGGAAAAAAGTGCAATAATTGCATTTGGGAGAGCCGGTTTGCACTTACATAAAACATTATAGGAAACACCTGTACTAGTTATTGCTGAAGAATGAAGAGACTGTATGCTGTATGTCATCAGTTATTCTAGTTATGCAGTATTGCTGCACTTTTGGAAGAAAATAAAAAGGTGACGAGTGGTTTGTAATAAATACCATTTCCTTTTGACATTGTAGACAGTGCTGGTTTCTCATTATAAAGATTATTTATTTCTACAGGCGAGTCTCCAAAGTGTCGCTGATCCGCTGCTAATAAAGAGAAATAATGTTGAGTACACAGACTAAAGCAAGAAGGAAATCACAGAATGTGCATTTTATCATTTGTGATAATAGAATGACCTTTTGTTTCTGGTTTTCAATTGTTTTACAGACAATGATCACAGCATGTTCAGGGATATATTTTCCATTGAACTAAACAAGCATTTCATTCTTTTAGGCTTTTGCTGTAGTTGCTCAATGAATTTCATGTGCTGGGAATATCAAATTCTGGAGGAATTTTACATTTTTATTAAGATATGTTCAGATCACGTCAACGAGATGTCTTGAAAATGCCATCATCAATGGATCCACCACTTTACCCAGTTTATTAAACCAGAAACTGATCTGACTCAAATAATTTGTCCCTTCTCTATCATTTGTTCACTCGTTCAGCTGCCCTCACTGGGTTTCCTCTCAGTGCCTTTACCAGAAGGCATCTAAAGAAAAAAAAACAAAACACCTTAGTAAACCCCCCGCAAAGCAGAAGAGGAAATATCTACCACAGATTTTTGTTCTCACAACGTACAAAAACAACGTCTGAACATGTTCAAAGTCAGGCCCTGATCCCACACCATTTGTTGCAAAAGATCCATTAGAATCATTACAGCAAACTGCTTCGAGATCCCATTACATTTAAATAGCTTCTGTTTTAACCAAAGGGCTGACTTCTTGTCAACTGTGACAGATTTTTTTTTATGCCTTTAATACATTAAAACAGGCAGTAAAATTAGAATCCATGATCATAGAATTGCATCACTGCTGCTGCATTAAAAATGAGTATTCTCTCACTTCACACATCTGTTTTCCTACTGAGAAAAGCGCAGTTAGGATTCTACTTTAATACGTTTTAGCTTTAAAACCCA